CAAATTCCTTTTTCTTAGTGCAAAATAAGTGAACCAAAGTTCTCATTACAAGGCATTGCTTTGTCCCTCAAAACTAGAGCATAGAAACAATTAGAGGACAGAAGGAATCTAAACGCCCACCTCTCATTTCAACAACCGTATCCACGAGTCCTCAAATATTCAGGAAAAAATTCAAGCCTTTGAAAAATTCTTCTTCAATGCATCTCTAAGAGGACTGGCGGCTATCGCGTGCTCTATGTGGGAGCCCGGCAAGTCAAGATGACATGTTTTGCGTTGTCCTAAGGGTGCATGCCCCATTTCATTTGAAGTTCCTGATAACTGCTAACCCATGAATTTCACTGCACCGCTCTGACCACCGAGTAAGATGACGGACAAAGTTGGTGTGCAACATGCGCCAGGAATATTGCTAAGATAGGCTATCTTAAAATACTTCTATAAAGGGAACTGAATTTTTTTTTCTGCTCACAGAAGAACGATCTGGAAAAAATCTACTGCTTCACAGGGAAACGACAAACGCTTTATTCTTGATGAATGTGTCGTTTTAAGTCCGATAAAAAGCATTTTGGAAAACGCAATTTTGAAATGTCCAATGAACACTTGAAGTCTAAGGTATTCAGTTCAGTTTAACTAATTGCATCGATTTCAGCACATTGGAAAAATACTGGATCACATTTCCCACATGACAATCGATATGAATGAAGAACACCAAAGCACTGCGATGCAAATAAAATTGAAGAAATAAACTAGCTCGTGGTCGAGAAATATAACTAGGCTTGTAACTGGATGGCTTTCGTTCCATGTCAAAAAAACTATTGGTCATTTTTTGTCTACTTCAGCGTCTTGTTCCTGATTATAGTAATAATTAATATAATAATAATAATAATAATAATAATAATAATAATAACCAAAATAACGGTAACAGCTACAGAAATTAGGGAAAAACTGACTGTCTTCAACAGGCTCACTCACAAAAATTTCTTGCGAAACTCAGTCAGGTCATCGTCAAGAACGCGCGAGTTTCTGCTAAGCGCTGAATAACAAGATTGCTTTATGTGAGTTTCAATACGTTAAACGTATTTTATTGCGGTTAAATTTCAATTTAAATTTAACGATGCTGGGCATCTAATTTAACTTAACATTAAATTCTTATTATAAAAGATTTGCACTATTACTACATTCTTATTTACCTAGATTTATAAAAAAAAAATCCCATCTAACCATATAAACACAGTTTAACCAACGAGATTTAAGATTCAACATGGAAAAACTTCTATTCTTACCAAACACTTCCGCTGACTCTAACACTTTTTTTTGGGGGGGGGGGGACTTTCCATTGTATACACTGATAACGGTGGTAATAAAATACAATTTTTATGGCGGTTTCGTAAATTACATCAATTCGCCAGCAACAATGTAATCAGGACTCGAAAAAATAATCAGCTATCATAAATGGCTACTTTTGTGAAAATCAATTTACAAGCTTTTTTTTTTACCAATTAACTTGTTTAGTATTACTGACAACCTAAGTCTACTAGTGTTCAGTATGAAAAAGAGATTAAATCGCCTTTCTAAAAAAATTAAAAATATAGTAGAAAAAGACAAAAATAACGCAGCAACCTGCCAACAGGCAATAAAAGAATACAAAAATATCGGCAACAGGGCTCGACTCTAATTTTTCAACTTAAGAGCCAAGTGGCTAGTGACAACTCAGATGTTACAACAATTTCAGTTTGTTTACTAGCTAAACTGGCTGAAGGAAATTGAAAAACACCAGCAAAAACTAAATTTCTACTAGCCTGTGGCTAGCTGGGTACCATTAGTGTCGAGCCCCGGGCAAATTGCCCTTTCCGTTTCTATTCTTTTAAAAAGTAGTCGCTATCTTAAGGCAGAGCGATCAATTTGGAAATCAAGAATTCGACCACAAAACAACACTCTTGCTCACAGTACTGAAATTTCCTGTTTTCTGTACAGCCAGAGCGTACCGTACGTTAATTAGCTGCTACATAAATCTGACTCCTAAGCAGCTTTTTTGGTTATGAAAACAACTCGGTTATGAGCTTGGACGTGCGTTTCAAAATCCTTTAAAGAAAGCGACAAGTGTAACTCAAAGAAAAAGAAAACCGCGAGCAAAGAAAGCGTATACTAAAACTGCTCATTGCCCAGCACATTAGACAGAGTTAAAGAACAGGAAAAGCATTGTTATGTATGTGAACCATAACAGTACTTTTCTGATAAGTCTTTTCGTTCTAAAAGTTTGTCTTTTAAAGCACCGCTTAAAATTCTGTACGTCGCAGAGGATCCTTTTTTCTGAGTCCAGTGTTTAAGCATCTCGAAGGCTTTATCGTTAGGGTTATCATACATCGCATCAATAGAATCCAGTTCCTCTGATACTTTAAGGCGTCTCCCCAGAGTTTTCCACTTCTTTCCAATATCTCTACCCAATCCTTCTAACTCATCCATTTCTGGTACGCCCTCTTTCACTATAAAAAGAACCTTTTAA